CCTCTCTCTCTCTCTCTCTCTCTCTCTCTCTCTCTCTCTCTCTCTCTCTCTCTCTCTTTCTCTCTGACTGTCTTCCCGTACTGTTTAATCTAAGAGCATCGCACTTGCCAACTTTATGTTTACAGGTAAAACAGAGAGAGGTAAGAAGTAAACATCACTGTTGAAAACCTATTCGCAAGTTTGTAATGGAGCAGTGCCAGCATATTCAATCGAAAATCCGATATTTGCCCCAGTATCGGAAAAGGTCGAATGTGTAATGTTGGGCGACTATTGCAGATTGAAAGTTCGCCAGTGTGAAACACCCTGAAATCTGACCCCAGTCTCTGAACCGTAACCTCTTAGACTCAGTCACCAGGTATTTCTTTGACAATGAAACAGTTCCAAATGTCTTGGAGCCCGAAGTCTGTGGGGGAATTTTGTGAAAGAACGTCCTATTCAGCAGCTTGTGCGTGTTATTTAACCCAATCTGTACTACCTGTGGCCATTTTGTACCCCGGGGTTGTATTCTTCACATTTTAGAATACTTCTACCAAGATCTCTTTGAAATGTTCAGTATTTCTCAAAAACATCATTTTGACAGACTGTTATGCAAAGCGTAGGGATCGGATTAACAAGTAAATTTCCTCTTTGGAAAGTGGTGGCACAGAGTTCCGCACGTCCTATGGATACGATAGTAAGACACGACGTACGGATAGGGTTAAATAATGATGGGTTTCGCAACCTTGACTGTGTGAAAAGGTTCACAAATGGAGTAGTTGAGAGGAATCCTCAAATGCCTTTATCTAGCAGAGAATCAACGAGGAATCCACAACAAATTTTTGATATTTTATAATAATAATAATAATAATAGATAGCATTTGTATAGCGCATATCCCCGCTCAACAGCAGGCTCTATATTTTAGTCCCCTGGAAACAAAGAAACATTTTCAATGAAAGAATTGACTTTAAAGTTCACAATAATGTTAGTCCTTTTGTCTGGTCAACGTTGCCAAACAACACACAGTCTGGGTACTGAGAATAATATGCAATTAACAAATTCAAAATGTATATTTTATTTCAAAAGTTTGCTCAGGAAAGGAAAGCATCAAGCTCCTCCAGAACTGATATCTTTTCCAGAAACCAAAAGTCTAGCATACACATTATCAATTCATACTTAGAGAAGACAACGCAGCTAAGGGAACAGACAAACTGCTCCAAACTGTTCATTAGTTTTCAGAAATCTTTCGAGCCTGTCAGTAAAGATACTCCATGTGACCAGATGGATTTTTTTAATGACGTCAAAAATGAAAAAAGAAAAAAAACAACGTTTTGATAGCTGAGGGCAATATTGTCGTTAATGCACCAGGATATTACGTTCGTATACGATTTCAGTTTTTCGCTTTTTTCTTTGCTTTTGCTGAAATTCTGTGATTACTAAAATTCGGTCGTAAGTTGACAAAACGCCCTTTTCTTATTCACTGCATGTTAGAGATAAGAAGGCGATTTGTCAGTATAATCTATGTGTTATTATATAATTGCGTACTTGTGAATGGTTGTTTTCTATAGCTAAAAAAAAACACTACAGAACGTAGAACCATGGAAAAATTACTGGAAGTAGTCACAAAGACCAAGCTAAGTTTCTATCAATTCAGTAAGTGCTTAGTTTGCATTCATCTAAAAAAAAAAAATTTTTTTTTTTAAAATAGAAAACACTATCGGCCGTTCACGACTTGCCCCTTCGTCATTTCAATGCAGTGTTCAAGACATCTTTCGTTTTCCACGATACAAAAATTGCTCTTCTGCCGGAAGTAAACAAATCTCAACTGTTCGTCACTTTGGTCGCCTAAAACTTCTGAACTACTTAACTTTTGAATTGGAAAAAAATAAAGATGGTTCAGAATCATTTGAAGGGTGCACAGTTATATTACGGAGTCTGAAAGCAATGTAGTTTAATGTTCAGTTTTTCATTAGTTCCGTTTAGATCTAATCTTGGGGAAAGTCCGTCTTCTAAGACGCCTTTGTAAACAAGTGAGACCGTTCACATGCTGTGCGCACTGACCCTCTAATGACTTAACTCGACCGGTACCCAGCTAGTCTTTATGAAAGGTGTTCTTCCGAAATTTGAATGCTAATTTATATACCCAAAAAAAACCCAACTAGTCAGAGTTTCACTTTGATTTTCTTTTACATCGGTAGAGTAACTGATCAGGCTATCGGTTTAGTCATTTTCAAAAAAAAATTCATCCAAAAAGAATTTTTTTTTAAACCCCAGAAATTTTTTTCTGCTTAGGGCAATATTGCCGTGTTTGCTATTGTTGTTTCTTGTTGTTGTTTTTGTCGGTGAGATAATGTGCCAATTGGGTCAGCGGAAGCTCAGGCCGACCCCGTGGACGTAGAAGAGCGGAACAAATGTTGGAACTCCGCCCTGTACTGGGAGCTGAACTTGTAGTAGACAAAGATGTTGATGGAAGAGTTGAAAGCTTCCAGGGAGAAGGTGAGGGTAGACACTAACACCAGGATATGTTCGTAACGCTCGAAAAGGTTATAGCCCGGCACGGTGACGAGACAGGCGAAGTTGACCGTGTTTGGGAAATAGCAGACGATAAAGATGGCTGAGATTGCTGAGACAAGGCCGGTAACTCTCGCGTCGCGTTTCTGGGTCGCTTCAAATGCTGCCGTCTGCCCCATCAGTATGCGCCATTTTGATTGTTGTTTCAGTTTGAAAATGAGAACCGCCGTGAATATCACATCCCCGAAGAAAATGATCCATTGAATAACGATGTTTGTCAGAACGTACATCGGGAGTTCAATATCGTCCCGATTTCTGATATACGTCAAGCCAAGAAGAGACGCATTTCTTTCTTCGGAATATTTCCACACAAATCGTGTCGTGTAGAAATACGGGCACTGGCTGGCTACCCCCCACAAAAAAGTGGTGATAATAATTCCTTTAATTTTTCGAGTGGTGACGAGAGCTTTGATCCTCATCGGCCATAAGATACAGATGCATCTCTCCGCGGATATCAAGAACGTTATACATGCAGAGATTCGGACAAAAGTGTTGTGCATCCAGCTTCCTGTAGCGAGGTGAATCTCGCGGGGAAGAAAGGGCACGTGTTTGGAGTTTTTCATCCAGGGGTTCAGACAGATGGTGGCCCAGAACGTTCCAAGCAGCGCAGTCGCATCGGAGATGGACAGAGCTAAGAGGCTGATGTTTATCGTTTGCCCCCTGTCCATTTTCAAGAAGATGATGATGTTGATTACGTTGATGATGCAGCCGGCCAAAGAAAGCGGGCTGGTTATGCAGACGATAATGATATCTTGCAGGATTTGAGGTAACTCCACGTCTGATAGGATTGTATTATGAGCGCTCTCAGGCTCGCAGATTGAAGCATTCATTTTTTCTGTTATTTCTTTATCTAACAATACTTCAAGTCTTAAAATTTAATTTTTCTCGTTACTTTTATTTATTTTTTTGTTCTTTTGGGTGGGTTTTTTTTTTCCTATGACAATGTCCAAATTCAATCTATCAATCGCTGTCTGTATTGCAGCAGTCCTGGTGAGTTCAACTTACACACTTTATCTATTTTTTTTCTGCCCAGTTATCTTGCTTTTTTTTCTTTTTTTTTTTTTTTTCTCTAACACAGTATGACTGTTATCGTGCCAATGTGCGTCTCCGTTGCCATACAATTCTGAGAATAACGTAGTCTCGGTTTCATTCGGGTGGTTTATAAAGACTTTCATTGTCTTTACTTCGTAGTTATTGGAACGAAGAGTATTATTTTCTCTTCCTGGATCTTTGGAGCTTTGTGATTGGTTGTTAGTTCTCCGCACTTCGCCCGCCCCTTTGTTGTAGAGAGCTAGAGAGAGGAGATGGGGAGGGAGGGAGACTGAAAGAGACTGAGTGAGAGAGAGAAAGAGACAGACAGACAGACAGACAGACAGACAGACAGACAGACAGACAGACAGACAGACAGGCAGACAGACAGATAGACAGACAGACAGACCGATGGACAGACAGACAAACAGACAGACAGACAGACAGAACGAGAGAGAGAGGGAGAGAGAGAAGATGGAAAGAAATAGAGAGAAACACAGAGAGAGAAAGAAAGAGAGAAAGAGAGAGAGAGAGAGAGAGAGAGAGAGAGAGAGGTGGGTGGGGGGTTGGGGTGGGGGGGGGGATAAACGTGAAAGTGGACAATGGTAGATATTGAAGGGGAAAAAAGCTAACAGCAGGGGACCTAGTTAAGTATTTTCCCTCACACTTTAATTAAACAATAGACATTCTTGCTAGCTTCCGTGTAGTGATCTTTATAACGATTAAATTCTTGTCTGTCTGTGGCAAAAACAAAAATCGTTGTTGTATTTTTTTAATTAATTTTTTTTTTGCTGCTGTTGTTGTTTTAGTTGTAAATATTTTATGGCGCTTGCAGCACGCAAGCGTCATGTAAGTGCCAAAGATTAGAAGTGATATGAGGAAAAAAAATACGAAAAAAATAATATTTAACATCCTTTTCAATATTGTGGTTACTAGGAAATAATAATAATAATTGCATTTATATAGCGCATATCCATGCTCAAGAGCTTGCTCTATGCGCTTTGCAAATATTAAATTAAACAAACACAAAACAGAATTTGTCTAACATTCGTTCAGAACTCTAAGATTGTTTAAAAGGCGGGACCTCTGTATGTAACTTTAATCTCAGAGAGGACCAAGCTGAATTATTGGGGTGTTTTGAGCATTCCCCAAGACAACACAAGTTTAGAATGTGGAGGTGGCGTCTGTAGCCTAGTGGTTAGGCTACCGGATCAGTAATCGTGAGAATGCTGGTTCGGGGCTTCGAGCCCCAGCTTGGTCTGATGTTGTGTTCTTGGGAAAGATACTTCACACGAATTTCCCGTTTGGCTCAGTTCTTTTGGGTATGGACTTTAAACTCGAAGGTCCTGCCTCTTAAATAACCTAATATTGTTGATAGAGGTATTAAACCTTTACCATTTTTTCCTTTAGGGATTTAAGCCAGAGCTATCCACCCCGTGGTTGAGCGTGATACCAACTGAAAATGAAAAATGGTGAAATGGTATGGCTTTAACGCCCCTATCAACACTATTTGGGTCATTTAAAAGACCGGGCCTCCGAATTAAACGTCCATCCCCGAAAGGAAGCAGCCATATAAGAAATTCGTGTTAAGTGTCTTTCCCAAGAACACAACGTCGGACCGAGCTGACGCTCGAACACCCGAAGTAGCAATCTCACGACTACGAGTTCCGTAGTTTAACCACCAGGCTGTCGACGCCACCCATACCTCCTGAACTAGCGCGGCTGTCACATTGTTGGATCACATCATATTTTCTTTTCAACTGTACAACACACTTTAGAAAAAACACAAAAGGGAACAACAATAACAATAACAACAACAACAACAGCTGCAACAACAACAACAACAACAACAACAACAACAACAACAGGCGGCATCTCTTCGGGGAGGATTCAGGGAGGTTGGACTGCCTCACCCGCTACCCAAGGAAGGCGGTAGCCCTGGCGAAGAGCATACTCTTCGGGGCTTCAAACATTTCGAACGGATAGGCTACCAGTTACCACACACACACAACAACAACAGCAACAACAACAACAACAACAACAACAACAACAACAACAACAACAACAGCAAGAGCAAATACAAAACACCCAAACCAACATCTCCACCCTTTCCCTCCTCGCCAGTCGCCCCCTCCAACCCACTCTAGAAAAAAATCATTGCACAACAACAACAACAACAACAACAACAACAACAACAACAACAACAACAACTACAAAATAAATAATAAATAAATACCAATTTTCTTCATTTCAATTTCCTAAGGCAATCTAATAACTAGGTACACAGCAATATCTCATGGGGGAATCCAAGTTCAGGAACATTGCTATATATTTTATTGTATAGCTCGTCATTGTCTTGTTCATATTGATGCTTACTCACTTTATCTGTTCTCTTGTACCTCTAGGGCGTCGAGGGGAGAAAGAGAGTGTTTGTCTCCAGCAGGTTTGATGGCCAGGTCGGGTGGAATGTTCTATGTTTTCAGGGTATCCATATTTCCATTGTTAACGACCAAGGCAAATTTTTCCCTGCGAGATGAATAAAGATTGTCATTGTCATAGTCATCCTTAACACCTTCGATCCAGGTCTTCCCTGGTCTTCCTCTTGCCTTGTACCCTAATATTTTTTTCTGTTGTAGGCTTCACTGGTAAGCTGGTGGGGTGCCACCCTATTAATGACCATGTAAAACATTTAATGGTGAGGTTTGAAGTTTGCTTACCTGTACCGCGGGGCAGGAAAAGGCGATTTTACCCAAGAGACACAAAGTGTGTCCACTCCGGGGTGGCGTTGGGGGG